CTGGAACTGTCGATGGAGGCAAAGTACATACTGTATTTATAACAGAACACAGCTTTTTATATAATTACATCCTTGTGCACTTTTTATTTTTGGTTCTTGAATAAAGTTACTCAGATGAAATTAAAGAGAATGCAGGAGAAGGTGCTTCGATGCCTCTTCCAGTTTCTATGGCAACTCTGGGGCATCTAATTCAGCTGCCTCATTGACTGTGAGTGTGCCCAAGAGATGCTGGCTACAACTTTTAGCTCATTCTAGAAAAGGCTGGGAGAAGTGTTTCTTATGGCCACCAAAAGAAGATAGGAGAAGACTGAAGAAAACCTCCAGCCTGTTTAACCTACTTGCCTTCATTTGGTTATGAATGGTTGCCATCGCCATCGGAGGGAGAGCGCTTTTGCCAAGAGTGTTTTGCTAGGGATATGTATACACTTGCCTTTTTTACCATTTTTCTATTGGTAAATAATCTTTTTATAAGTAAGTTCTTGATGCAGCTATTTATATGTTTTTAAAGAAACTCATGTATTATTTAGTGAGACCCTTTTAATGCGGGATCAAATAAAGAGTGGCTTAACAGGGATTTAGACAAAGAGCTATCTCAGCAAAAATGTGAAAAACAAAAGTCAAATAAAATTATCTACTGGGAGACTGGATTCATTCTCTTTATATAGGAGGGAACCAAATACTTATCCAAGGGATGTCTTTTGGCCCTTGTGTTGGGACTGGGGAGGTGCTGAGGCACAGAAGACTCACAGAACTACCCCAGACAGAATCTGGGGTTAGACCAACCACTCAGCACAGAGATGTGAGAGGGCAGCGTCCACTGGAGCAATGTCCTCATGCAACCAATTTAAAATTTAAGAATAGACACTTCCAAATGCTAGGTTGGATGTTACATTAAATGACCATGCTTTAATATTCAATAGTTTTATTGTAATCTTATTGCAAGTTAAATATTACTGATAAGAGCAACACGAAACATGGTAACAGGCCCATAATAGTGACCTAAAAATGTGTGGAAGGAAATAAGGAAGGATAATAAGGGAAGGAAACAGAGAAGAAGGCAGGGAGCAAGGGAAGGAAATCTGGAAGGAAGGGCAGGTTTGCTCTTTCTGAATGTCTCTAGTTTTGAGTCTCTCTCTGCCCTTAATTTTCTTAGGATTTTTTAAACCAAGAAATCAAGGAACAATTTTGTCTTCCTATTCCATAATTATTGCATCAGTAGGAACTTGCGTGGGTGTGTATGTTTGTTGTCATATACAACACAGTTTATCAAAACCAAACCAGACACAGACAAATATTTAATTTTTCTTCGAGGGGAATGTTTGACATAAAATTTCAATTGTTAGAGTCAAGACAAAATAAAACAGATTTCAGAGTAATGTGTTTGTATCATGACTCTGTAAGTTGATGAAAGTATTTTGTTTACAAATAGTTGACTTTGACAATATTTTTTTAATATGACATATAATAAATTGATTCAAAGGAAGTGACTAGGAGAGGCTTGCAGGACAAAGAAATAATATTTATTATTACATTTTAAAGTCTTTATTACATAGTCTAATTTTTTTTTAGATATTTTCAGGTTGAGAAAAATAGGTTTGTCTCACTAAACTTACATCAACATAAATGTCTCTTGATAATATTTATCGAAAACTTGAGGGTAAGAATCAAAAGCAAAGGTAAAAGTTATCATAATAAATTAGAGGAGAAAGGCTTTTTGTTTTTTGTTTGTTTGTTTGTTTTTTTACAAGGTCAGTTTATTTATAGATGTGAGATGTCCTTTGAAGTCATGATATCAGAAGGTTGATTGCTTAATCTACTCTACCTCCTTGGTCAACATATTTTGCAAGGCCTCCTGGGCCATTTTGAGCCATTTCAAAATTGTCAACAATTCCACAACCAAATCATCTTATTACATGTTCTTTATCGTCAGGCACACATTGTCTATTTGGTGCAAAATGATATTTGCAATCTTAGTCATCTACCTTGTCACTTAAATGTGATTTTTATTCATTTCTGGATTTTTGCTAATAGTAAAGTTTAACATAAAGGTTAAAAAAAAAAACAAAATTAAAACACTTTAATGATGTGCAGACATCAATTCCCAATAAGTTGTTGTATAAACATTTAAATTCGTGGTGACAGCCCTGAAAAAAAGATATGCATTCTCCAAGTAAATGTTTCTGCACATGGAGGACAATAACTGTATGTCTTATCTGCAGTGCCTAATAGGTCCTAATTTATCAATAACTGGTAATTCTTATTCCATATACACTGTTTCTTTCGAAAGCCTGTTTCTCCTAGTATTAAGGCAAAATGATCATATGACCATACCAACCAATTTCCAAAACATAACCCACTGATGACAAAGTCCATCCAGAAAACTTTGAGTACCAGCACAATATAATAATTCTCCAACAAATTTTGGTTGAAATGAATAGAATCTCTTAGAAGTCAAATCTCTTAAAAGCTTCAAATCCCCAGAATACCACTCAGATCTGAATTAATGAAGATAAATATTGTCCACTGAAAACCCTATGATCAAACCAGATCTTTTGGTATTCTGATGAAAGTCAACAGCATTATTTGATATTCCTGTCTGCTAATATATAACATTTACGATATGATGGTATATGATATGACATCTATGATAGGGTATTATACCATGGATTATATTATCTATAACATGGTATGTAGATCTGATTTTCTTGACACCATGGATCAGAAGCAAAAAGCTAAATGGTGCTAGGGGACTTCTGGCAGTGAAGAAAATACAGCTGATGGTTTCAAGATAAAGAAAACACTTTAAAACCCTTCACACCCGAAAGAGATGCTTCATAGTAACTTCAGTCACCCAAGGAAACACAGATCACATATATATATATATATATATATATATATATATATATATATATATATATCCTCTTCTAACCAAAACAGAGAATGGTAATTTAAGAAAACCATTTCTCCAAAACAATGAATGCCCTTGAGGCAACAAGTTTCAGTTATTTGGAGAGAGCCTCTTATATGTAATTATTCACCATTATTATTCTCGGTATTTAGTAATACTCCAGTGCCAAAGCTTGGCTCACCTTGCTCCATCTCCTCCCTGCCACATTCTTCTGAGCTGTCCCTCCTCCTCCTTCCCCCAACTTTTCTACTTCTCCAGCTTCCAAGGATAACTGGCTCCTCCCAGTCTGCCTAGAACTTTCCCAGATTCAGTACTGCAAGTCACACACCCTTCAGCCCAGGCAATGCAGGACAGTGGGACACCTTATTCCAGAGCCAGGACTCTCATAGTCTTCTTCCACCTGTATCTTGCAGAGATTGCCTTGTGGCCATGCAATTAAAAATAAAAGTCATTATAACACTTGGGCGACTCTAACTATCAGACCACTAGGTCCTAGGATCCGCCCTTTTTGGGAAAAAAAAAAGCTCTGAGGTCTTGAAATGTGCTAATCACAGATTTGGTTCTTTATGTCATTAGCATGAAGCTAGACTTCCTTCTTTAAAGTGCTATGTGAGGAGCAGGTGCTTGGGAAGGTAACAGCCTAGAAGGCTTGCTGGACTGTCACTCAAAGAGGGGCCAAGCAGAGGACTCTCTAAAGTGCCTCGTGTGTGTGTGTGTGTGTGTGTGTGTGTGTGTGTGTGTGTGTTTGATAGAAATACTAAATAAAAATAGAGGTAAGGCCTATATAGCATTCAACTTCCTACCTGGCTTTATCGTGACATATCTTGTTTAAATCATTCCAATCCCGGGGAGGATCCTTTTATACCTTTGTCTGCCTTCCAAAGAGGAAAGCAGGTAGTAGGCTGCCTGGAGCTGGATTAGTAATGGAGCTCTGTGGTTTTGCTTGGGGACAGGCCTAAGCAATTCCTAGTTCATTGAAATTAATCTCAAATTTGAAATTTACCCACATCCTGCAACCAAGGCTGAGGTTTGACATTGTTCTGCCCCTTGTGTATTGTCCCCACTCTCCAAATACTGAAGGAGGAACTGGGGAGCCAGGTTAGCAATAAGGCAGGAAAATCCAGGGTTCTTGTGTCCTGTGTGGGGAAGAAAAGAAGAGTGCTTTTGTTCCCGAGACCAGAAACACTGATGCAGAGAGGTCTCGGGTTAGATGGCAGGCCACCAAAGTAAAAGCGGCATGGAGCAGTGAATGGGGCAGCTCGGTGTTGAGGGTAACTTTTGAATCAGCACTGATACCAACTGGCTGAGTCCACAAGGGTCAAGGCCCTTCTCTGGACCTCAGATTCCTCTAGTCTTAAATGGAAGCAATGGGCTTGGAGTGAGCTTAAATAACTTACTATATTCAGCAAGATCTCAGAACCGTCCTCCCAATAGTTCCGAGTACTTGTAAAAGGAAAAGATATTAAGGAGAAACACCTATGTCAGAATGCAAAATTCCTCTGTATTTCCAACTTTGAAAAGCACTTTAACTTGAACTTGCTAGAGGAAGTGGCATTTTCTCTGAGGCCACTTATCCTTTGCAACTTCATATCCTGAAAAGATATTCAGCTTAGTGGAGTAAACCAGGCTTGGAGGCAGATAAAACTTGAATTCAAACCCTACTTCCATAATTCCTTAGCTTTAAAATTTAGTTTCTTTATCTATTACTGAAGTCAAATCTATACTGAAGATTTAACAGGCCTCAAGTCAAATCTGCTCGAAGTTGTAAGTGAAGTTTTGTTCAAGTTCAACCATCTCATTTGTTTTCCTGTTATCTGGGATCTTTTTTGGACTATAGGCTTAGTGGCTTCCTTGAGAAAAGACCCTCTTTGGTCCATGAAGCCAAAAATATTCACTCTCTGGCCCTTACAGCACCCTTTTCTAAGTCCTGATCTGCAGTAACAGAATGATGATACCCTGATTTATTTTTTGTGAGAATTAGATAAAATGATACACAAGGTAGAACTTACACATAGCTGAGGCTCAATGGAGAGTTAACTGATACTATTTAACAGAGAATCAAAATCTAAACCTTGTACTTTATTTTTGTGAGTCTTGTTTGCTCTTTTTTTTTTTTTTCTTTTGGTCTTTTCTACCTAGGTCATTCTGTACAAAAACAAAACATGAGCTTGACTTCCTTTAACCTGGATTAAAGTAATCTGCCCCTCTGGTGTACCTGTGTGTTCCGGCAATTTCTATGGCTCTATTCATCCAAACTATCAGGGTTTATGTCCTATTGTTTGGGAATATCTGAACATTTCTACTGTGATCATAAGGAGGAACAACCATTCTTGCACAGATTTGTTTCAATTTTTAAGTTTTTATTTAGAAATAATAAAATAAGACATAATATATAAAAATATGTACAACCCATGGTTTGTGCAGTACAATAGGAAGACTTTAGATACAAAAAGGATGGCAAATGGGAAAATAATAACTATCACGATTGTCCAAGGCCTGAATTGTTCAACTCTCTATAGCTGAGAACTGAAATCTAACATCGCCGGAAAAGAAATTCTAGTTGGCTGAAGGTCGTGGGCAGGGAGGTGACTGTGTAACACCAAGATTTGGGGTGGAGGAGCTAGGGATGAAAGGAACTGGTGAAAGAAAGAATGCATCAATAGAACAAAAAACGAAGTCAAACAAATTTTCTCTAGGAATTTGGAAATGACTACAGTGCTAGAGTGACATCTTTGAAATGTCTGATTCAAGTATACTCTTAGAGGGATAGAAAACTATTCCTTTCTCAATAATCAAAATAGAATTCACTTTGTCTACCTTTTATTTAAAAATAGAATAACCAGGAAATCTATGCCTCCCCCCAAAAAATATAATGCCCATCCAGATACGGGCAGACATTCTTTAAAAGGGAATACATCCTAAGGAAATTCAATAGGGATTTGCTTGCAATAGAGAAGCAGCACGCATCTGGGAATCAACCCCAGATATTCACGGTGAGTCCCTTCCATCTGCGTTCTAGTGACAGGTATGCACTAGTTAAGGAGACCCAGTCAAAGGACAAATATTTTGAAGGTAAACTGCAACAATATACGTCGTGCAGTACCTGTGTCTTGGCTCTTGACAAGAAAAAAAAAATACATATATATATATATATATAGCCACTTAAAGCTTGTAACTATTAAAATGCTAATAACTAGAAAAAGCTTTCAAATTGAACAGTCCATGCTGAAATAAATAACAGAAGAACATAGCAATACGAACCTTATAAGGCTGGTAAATATGTGCTAAAACCATGCTAACCGGTAGCATATAGGTACTAGCTCTCCGAAATTGCTGCACTGAAATTATACTTTCTATGGCAATTTTTTTCCTTTACATACTTCTATTTACATTTGGCTTTAAATATGAAAATATCTGATAAACTTTATAAAATGTACACTTTAAAAACATAGCTTCTGCAAAATTTTCTTGAAAAAAAAAAAAACAAACCTGTGCACCAGAAATTTTAGATTTTTTCTCTTTTTCAGAAATAAGTTGAAAGATGTCCCTCCCTCTTCCTTGTCCCCGTACCCACCCCCTTCAAATATCTCAAGTCTTTTTAAGTGGTAGCACTGTGTGTTTGGGGGTCCTTCTTTGAGGTCACCCCCATGCTCCACTGCATCTTCATTTAATTTACATATCACTAAATACTCTTTGGTTTGATTGTTTTCCTTTGCAAAACATCATGATAGCAGCAGCTGAAGCCCTCGATAGCCTCTCACTGTCAAAAGTCAAATTGTTCTCTTCTATTAAATCTCCCGTTCCCAATTCCTCCAACTCTTAAAACAACTTCCCAAACCTGCCTTTGAATCTGGACTTAAAATAACATCCACGTGCTTAGCATCTTTTTTTCTCGGTTTCAATGAAAATATCACCACGGTTTTCAAACCCACCAACTTGGAAGGCTTGAAAACAGCAGAAACCGGCATAGTTTTGCAGGCACTGCATTCAGATATGGCTGTTCAAGAACCAGAGACCATCACGAATGTCCATTTACAAAACATATGACTTTAGAACAAGCTGTATTTTAATGGCATACCAGAATATAATACCATAAGAGAGTTGATTTTGAGACTAATTAAAAAGAAAAGTCAGAAACCCCAGAATTCACAAATAGGGAACTTTAAACTGTAGCAGAGTTCCGCTATTGGGCTAAATCAAGGAGGAAAATGTTTCTAGCAAGGCAAGCAGCCAGGGAGGAGAAACTTCTGGAAAACAATGTGTCCCTAGTAAACTGCTCTGGGCTCCAAAAGAGACAATGATGGGTTCACATTAATCACGAGAATGCACACAAAGAAGGACTTGACCCCTTTTAAACTATTATCTCCTTTCCCTGTGATTGTATTGGATTTTTATGGCTCTTTTTGACCCTAAAATACTGGGATATTCTCATTCCTTCTCTCTGCCATAAAAATAGGCAAATTTCCTCTCCCTCCTGAATACTGAAGCCGAAATGCTGCATCCAAGTGGTCTGTCCACCCCTTTCTGCATCCCCCACTTTGGCAAGTGCATCCCTGTCTGACTGTGCAGGATGCACTCCAAACAGACTAATGGGAAGATCAAGCCTGGAGGACAGGCGTGGCATCTTTTCTAAGGTGACGTTCAGCTGGAAATGTCCAGACAGTTGAGGAAATGAACTCAACTGAAAAGTTTAAGTCAATTTATTTTTTCATACCAACGGCTGCATGGAGGGTGCCAGGATATGTGCCAAGTTCAATCAAGATCTCATCTTATGGAATAAATTTTGGAATGTGCAAAAAGGGGAAGTCCAGAAAAATCTAAGAGCATGTCACCATCTCTCTCACTTGATGCATTAGTCTGGCCAGCATTACCCAGCAGGATAGAAAAGATGTTGATGTTCTTTGTGTGTATGCATGTGTATGTGGACTGTACTTCCCCTTTGTTCTTCCTCTTCTACTTCCAACAGGAAGGGTACATGACAGAACAAAATTTAAAAAGCACTACACTTACTAGACTCCGTGTTTGATGCTGTTTTGTGAATAAGGTGCAAAATGAACAGGCGGTTTGAGGTCTTGCTGAGGTTCAAAGTTATTGTCTCTTGATTTCAAGGCAACCCATGGGGCTTTGTTTCCTTTTTAGTATAAGCTCCACTGTGCAAAAATGTGCATTATCTTTGGTATTTATTTTAGGTAGTCTAACTTAAAATTTTAGATAACCCATTGACATCAGGAGAAAGGAAAAAAAAAAAAACCCAGAGGCTACCATTTGGCTAGTGTTACATAATGCCCTTATGTAACCAGAGAGAGAGAGAGAGAGAGAGAGAGAGAGAGAGAATAGAGAGAGAGATCAGTTCTAGGAAACAGATTACTGGCCTCCAAAAAATCAGGCTCTCAGTTTTGGCAGTTAATAGCCAAATACTTGCCACTTTGAAGCGCATCATGAGCTTTCAACAAAGTTCAACACTGACTTTTAAATCACATAAAAGAAAAACTACACTGCAACAAAAATACGATTTGTGTTCATGTAGTTAGCAGCTTTTCAAAAAAAATTAAGGCAGAGTCTTGCCTTTGTTATGCCATTAAAAACACTCTTGTTCCCTAAAAGAAGCATTCTGGATAAGTCAGATACCCAACCAAGGCTTGCCTGCAAATTCAAGTTTTGTAAAAAACACAAAACAACACATAAAAGCCCGCAACTTAGTCTACAACACGTATGTGCCATCGGGTCACGCAAAGGCCTGGTTAGTGCTCTGCATCAATCATGGAGCTTACAGTCTTTCTTTGAAACCATTGTGCTAGCCTCAGTCCCTGGTGGCCACTTTGCCTTGACCCACCTCTTGACCAGTACCGTCGTCTGTTAACTGTTTCAGGCCTCTGACCAACAGACTGTGGAGTGAAGTAAGTATTCCAGAGCAGGAATCAGTCAGTCATATCTCGGATTCCCGCCGCAAGGGCCTGGGCTCTAGAGGTACGCTGGCCTGGTTGTGGAGGTCTATGTCTGGGGGGGTGTCTGTACTAGTGCTTTCGGGAACTCCGTTTTCACTGTCTTCTTCCTCTTTGCTCGTGAGGGCGACTTCATTTTCATAGCAAAATGAATTAGCATTTGAGAGGATATATTTCTTCTCGGCTAAGTCTCTGGCACTACAGAGGGGAGTGTTGGGGACTTCGTAAGTCTTGTGGAACCTGGAATAGTCCACCTTGTAGTAGTGCTTCTCCTCAAAGAGGACCGGCTCGTAGCGGTGGCCCCAGAGGATCTCATTGGCCAGGTAGGAGCTTCGGCACTGCGTGGTCATGGCAGTGGCCTCTACCATGCCTTCCAGTATGACGACAATTTCAAAGTCTGCGTTGTCAATGTCCTGCTTACTCAGATCATACAAAGGACTGTCTTCGTCGATTTCATGGACGATAGTGATCGGGGACACTAGAAATATACGGTCAATCCCACTGTCAAACCCCACATTGATGTCTATCTGATCCAGGGGGATGTACTCCCCTTCGGAAGTAATTCTGGATTTGAGGAGCTGCGCCCGCACGTGCGCTTCCACCAAGTGGCTTTTGCGAAGGTTGCCCACTCGCCACATCAAGCACAGCTTGCCGTCTCTCATGGCGATCACGGCGTTGTGACTGAAGACCAGGGTCTCGTTTCTCTTCTTGGGCTTGGCCATCTTGGCCATGACCGCGCCGATGATGAAGGCGTCAATGATGCAGCCCACGATGGACTGGAAGACCACCATGAAGACGGCGATGGGGCACTCATCCGTGACACACCTGAAGCCGTAGCCTATGGTGGTCTGGGTCTCGATGGAGAAAAGGAAGGCGGCCGTGAAGCTGTTGACCTCAGACACACAAGCTTTGCTCTCCTTGGATGCATCCAGGTCCCCGTGGAGCAGGGCAATCAACCAAAACACGCAGCCGAAAAACAGCCACGAGAGGACAAAAGCCAGGCAGAAGATAACCAGCATCCACCGCCAGCGAATGTCCACACACGTGGTGAAGATGTCCGCCAGGTACCGTTGTCCCTTCTCACCCACGTTGATGAACTGGACATTGCAGTGGCCATCCTTCTTCACAAAGCGGCTCCTGCACTGTTGCCGGGTGTGGACTTTGCTCTTCCCGTTCCCAAAGCCGTTGGCAACCGCCATGGTGGCCAGCTTCATGCCGTCCTCTTCCGAAGAGACGATGCTGTAGCGGTTGGTTCGCACACTGCCCATCGCTTCTGCTGTGGACTCCAGTGCTTCTGCTTTGGAAAACAGTCTGAGTTTTTGCAAAACCCTTTGGAGAAACAGTTTTGAATGTTCGGTGAGGACGCGTACACAAAAAATGAGGAGAGATGGGTGTCTCCAGGAGCCTTGGGGTCCTACCAAGGTCTGTCAACTGACATGCAGAGGTACCTTAGTAACTCAGCAGACATCCAGGGAACATGTCCTGCAAGGAAAGACAGACCATTCATTACAGAAGTCATTCTTAAGAGAGTCCTAAGGCAACAAACCCTGCTCTGAGAAAGCACTGAATTGCAGGCATTTTAATTTCTTTGTCCCCTAATTTTTGTTTTCAATTTTTATTTGAAAGCATAAACTCATCAAGTTATTTAAGACAGTAATTCCGCCAGAATTTCTTTTTCCTCTCGCGTTTTTCTTTTTTGCCACTGAATTCTATCTTCTTTTTGCCTTCTCTACTTGCTAGGTTCTCAAATCCTTACACAGAAGAAAGACTTTCTGGTGGCCAGGCTTGTTGCAAAGCTGTTAGAACCAGGACGTGTCTAGGGAACATTTTGTGAGTGCAGCCTTGATATTAATAGACTTGCATGTGCACTATGGGATAGTATCCCAGCCCTTGACGGCAAGGTGGAAGTTGGGAGGTACAGACTATTTTGCCTAAATGATAAAACTGAGCAGACAGCCTTTAGGATCATCTGAAATGGATCCCGGCTGCTGGGTACTGTTTGGGCTTGCTCCATCATTTCACACGCTGGAAGCAGCCACTGTGCAGAAATGCCTGATAACATCTCAGTTAGTGCAAGTGATTCTGACTTGAAGACACAGATTTGCTCCGGGGAATAGAGAGCGATTCTGTTGCCTAGCAATGAGAGTCCTGAAATTCTCCAGAGAGGGGACTGCCATGTGTAATGACAGGCTAGGAAGTAAGCACCTTTGTGCCAAAGGACCAGGTCTTTAGCGGATTTAGATAAGGCAGGAACCCATTTCGTGTGGGTCCAATGCTGTGTTCCCTCAAACAGAGACAACTCTGTAATCAAAGTGGCTCATAAATGCCAGTCGGCTGGCTTTCGCTTGGAGTGCTTCTGTTTGCAATAGGTTCCTATGGAGAAGGCACTCACCTTTACTTAACACGAGCAAACAGTAGTTTTCAGTTTTCTCCTATTGCCTCATTCTCTCCTAGGTAAAAACTGATTTCATATCCCATCTTGGCTCCAAAGAAACTGTGCTTTTCCTTGACTCACTATCAAAAGCCTAAGAGAAAGTCATTTTCCTCACCAAATACATATAGGCAAAGCTATCAGAGCCTAGAACTAAAAAAAAAAAAAAATAACAGTGGTTCTCAACTTCTGGAACAATCAAATCCATCTCCCGTGTCTAAGGGGGACAATGAACAATAATACATAGAAAGGATCAGAAATTTCTTGAAGCCCTGGTAACAAGGACTCTACTTTTTCTACCCCCCGCCCCAAAGCCGCATTAAGATTAAGCAGTTAACAGAACCCTTGGCAGCCAAACCAGCTGCAAACAAATCAGGCAAACCATTTCTCTTAGTTTTGTGCATCCCTTTAAAATGAGGCAAGGTGCATTGTCTTTGAAAATGTCTCGTTACAATCTTTTGACTTCTCCCTCCACATCCAAGTTATTATGCAAGAATGTGCCCCAACACATTTTTCCTGAGATTAGTCATCTGTGAAAATTGCAATGTGTGTTACATTTTGGCAGCTTTTGACACCTAAATGATGCCCGATTTGAAAGTGCCTTTGAATTACTTTATAAAAAGAAGTTACTGTGCCTTCCCAGATTTCCACCTGCTTCAATGTTTTGTCTGCTTCCCTGTGAAGTTTGCACTTGGACAAAAGAAAAAAAGAATCCTATTCCTCAGGATTCAAGATCCTGGGCATGGAAAGATTTTTTTTTTTTTTTTTAATACAGGGATTTCAGTTTATTTGGCTCACATGGAATTGCCAAGCGTTTCTACACAGAGACAGAAATATAACACTAAATGCAGGTGTACTTTTCTGAAAAAGGGGAAAGAGAGACTTCCTTAAAGTGTGCTAGAATCTTTGAGTTCTGCTTGGCTTTAGGACCCTTTATTATAAACTGACACCAAGAAATGCCCTCTTCACAATTCAAAACAATCCTTCCATCCAAGTTACCACTGGGGGACATGAGGAAGCAGATTCAAATTTCTTCAGGCTTATTTCTGCACTCTTTTCGGATTAAAACATAACCATCATATGAAAACTAAAGGCTGCATTATTACTTCCCAAAAATCTTGACCCCAGGACATTTGTTTAAATTCCACAAATCACACAATACCAACTTCCTATGAATAGCTGCCCGCCTTTAGAACCTTGAAAATAGCCTGTATCAAGCGACTATTATTGTCTTATTTCCATTGCTAATGACAGAATTTGTTCCACATGTGGAGCATCATTTAGAAATTTTACCATTTCTTCCTGGAAAGGGGAAAAGAAGAGTTGGTTTCTTTTTCTTCTTCTTCTTTTTTTTTTTGTTTGCTTAAGGCAAAATGGGAACTTTGATCACCTCAAATAAATATACCCCCAAACAGATTTATGTGTATATATGTGTGCATTCATATTGTATCTACTCAGAGTCTGAGGAGCTAATTACATAACAAAAGACTAAAACTTGCCAAAGTCTGATAGGGTAACTATCCTAGTAAGTCACCACAATGATCCCCTTTACTGTTCACCTGCCCACATGTCCAAGTGGCTTTAGGCAAACAGAGACATCTTTACCAGCTCCTCTGTCAAAGGAAATCACTAATTCATGAACATCTGGGAAAAGCTTTTACTTAAAACACAGAACTTTTATACACCTTTATTCCATATGATGTTTTGAGAAAGAGTTGATTAGGAGTCTAGGGAACATTAAATGATTTGACTTCTTGATGGCTATAGTTCTGGAGAGTTGGTATTTGATTTGATGAACAATATATGAATTCCCCTATCAGCCCAAATACCTAAGGGGCCTGAAGTAAACTCAATGGACACAAATAATCATTTCATTCCAGCCATAACCAATGATGCAGAAAGTATTCCTGGGAAATTGAGAGGCCACATGTGGTGCTGTTCATGTTAAGACTATTTATAGGCTGAGCCAAAATTAAGCATAAGCAATGGAAAAAAATAGTTCAGCACTTCAATCTTAGGTAGATATTAAAGGAGAGAGGGCTATGGATAAATACAAGGTCAAGGAGTTACATGGTACAAATGGAGGGAATATAAGTTATTTTTGCCATAAAGGAAATAATTCCAACAGGCAGATAATAACCATGGAAAAGATAATCATGAGAGCAAATGAGAATAGTTCTGCCACATGGTCTTGGTGTATGTACAGTGAATAAGAAAGTTTCTGACTAAGGACAGGACATAGACAGAAGAAAATGTGCAGGGTTGAGAGAGAGAGAGAGATTTGCTAATGAGTGTTCAGAGCAGCTATTCCCCAGCTGACGCCATATAGACCAGCCTGAGTGTGCTCTGGGCACAAGTTGCTACGTGAGCACAACTGCTAGCAAAGCAACCTCTTGGAAGCTCAGTAAACAGAAGGGAGGAGGAGGGGACCATGGGGGGGGGGTTGCACCAGTCCATCTATGTGAATGCCATCTCTGACATTTGTGCTGAACAATGCATGCTACATTGCTCAGCATTTGCATATGATGGAAAATACACAGATTTAGTAAACAAAAATAGACACATAAAACAAACTGAAATGGTCCAACTGTTTAGGTAAAGACGTGTTTAATCTTTCAGGCCACTCAAAAGTCATACAAGGACTCTAGAGCTAGCCAGCAATTCTTCAACTGGAGAGTCTGAAGGATATAGAAAGACCATGTTCTTACAGAAAGAAAAAAAGAAAATACCACATTCACAACGGTGTGAAACAAATATTCCTTATGGATACCAATAACAAAAAAATTAAGTAACCCCCAACATATAAGGAGGAGGGGCAGAAAGCAAAATGAAATTATGTTAACCTTCAACTCTCACCCCTCCCATTGTCCTTGAAGTAACATCTCTCACTCCTTCTGAACATTAGGATTGTTCAGGATCATGGCAAAAACAAATATAATACTTGGAAGTGAGCAAGAAGAAACTGATATGTGTAAAGGTAATGCACAGTGGATATAAAACATTTATCAAGGGAAAACTTGACAATATATTGATTATTAATGTGAAAACAAATGGCAAAAGGCAATGTGTACTTTCTGCATACCCCTAAACAGGTTTTCAAATAATGCCCTATTTTGTAACAGGTACACTCTGAGTTTATGAAAATCTCCAGAATCCATGCCTCATCCTAGTAACCACACCGCTGACAGGCTTAGCCTGACACACGCAGCAAACTAACCACCCGTTTCCTATCTCTATTTTTTTTCAACTGTCATGATGAATCCATGTTATGATGCAATATTTTTGCAGAATCAAGTCATTTTGATGGTTTTGCTTGCTTGAAACCACAGTATCTTCAAGCTAGGCATTTATACCATTATTAGTAAGAATAACAAATGGCTTAGGGCAGAGTGACATGCAATGTGAAAGTTTTGCGGTTCTCAGGCTCAAATCCAATTCTGGCTTCTGCTCTCTTAACCCAGCAAAGCAACTTTGAGAAACTCACTCTGTTTGGAACTTGAAGCTATACTTGAATCAACTAGGGGGGTAAAAAAAAAAAGACATCGAAGCTGTGCTTGAATTAACTAAGCGGAAAAAAAAAAAAAAAGCAAACGAACCACAACAACAAAAAAGACTCCAAGGATAGAGAATAAATAGTGCTGTGTCCCAAGGTTTGCCAAGGTCTGATACCAGGGCTTGAGTTTCACCTCTACCCCTCAGCCACCTTCTTTCCCCTATTATCACCCTTCTTAGAGGGAGAATGGAACACAGACTGTAGCCCTTGCCTCCAAACCCAGTATCTCCCTACAGCTGGTGCATTGGAAGTTATGAGCACAAACAGATGCTGCAGAGAAATCTGTTTCTATTGCTCAACTGTTCCAAGCATGTCTCAGTATTTTTAGCTCTGAGGGTGTTCTGGTGCGCACACAAACTATATAGGCTTGAGCTGGGACTCCAAAGCGTGGGGGAGCACTACAGCAACGTGACAGCTGGGCACCTCTGGAGCAGCAGGGCAGGGTAGTTTAGGGCACGGTGGCCCGAGTCCATTTCCGAGGACACACAGCGAGAGAGAAGGAGTGAAGAAAACACATAGCAGCCCTTACCTGTTGCTGGCACAGGAGCATGGGGACATGGAGTGGAAGTGGGGGGTACAGAGACATGTAAGATCCAGTGGTTTGTAAAATTGAGTGAGCCGAAGCAAACCAGAATTCCCAAGACCCAGCTTGTCGGCGCCGGGAAGGCTGCGCGCTGGCCAGGGCTCCAGTGCGCTCTGCAATATCCTGGGCTCTTTTGAGGCGGTACACGCGATACCGGCCCTTCTGACTCCGCCCCCCCGGCCGCTGCCGGCCAATCGCACGCGGTGGCCCCGCGAACCAAAAAGGGGAGGGGTGGATGCTACACCCGCGTACCGCGGCGCACCCCGCCAAGGGAACCTGCTGCCGCTTCCTCCCCCTCCACCCTCCCAGCCTGGTCCGGGAGTCGGGCCCGGCTGGGGAGGAGGAAGTTGCGGCCCAGCTGGGACAGCAGCAGGTGGGAAGGTCCGCGTCCGGGCTTTTGCGGCTGCCTAATTGCAGCCTGGCCTTGGGCAAAGCTTCCTACCCTTCTCCTAGCCCCACACTTTCCGCTTCGAAGGGCCTGCGCCGTGCCAGTGCTGGGGTGAGAGGTTGCCGCCGTCTTCCTTTACCCTGCCTCCCACCCTAAGCCCTCAGTCTCTCCAAAACGGGACCTGCAGCGCGCAGAGGAGCGGCCAATTAAGTGGGGAAAGGGGCTGGGACCCGCGCGCAGAACCCCACGGGATTTAGACGCGCACAAGTGTAGCGACTGCTAAGCTGCTGGGCTATTTCTCCTCCCGACTGTTGGAGAATTACTTACAAAGCGCCTAGACTTCCCTGGAGGATGAACTGCTCGTTCTCTCTCGCCTTGTCCGCCCTCAATCTCTTCCTCCACCACCGCCCGGCACGCTCTGCTGATCTAAAATCAGAACAATTAGAGAGTAATGAATTCTCTGGAACAGCAACTCCTACAGACACTCAGCTCTGCCCTCGCACCAGCGCCTCCCAACCCTCCTTCCCAGCAACCAGGCAAGAGCGTGTAGACCCTGAAAAATCAGCTCAGTGTTAACCGGGTCTAGAGTCTAGAAGTTTGCAAATTCATCTGTGTGCGTTTGTGTGCGTGTGTGTGTGTGTGTGTGTGTGTGTGTGTGAAAGTGAGCGCATATTATCTCTGAGTTCTTTGGTGTCAAACGAAGCTTCGCTCTTAAAGGGCACGATATATTTAAAAGTCCTTTCCTTCCCCTGTGTTTGCAATTCCTGTATATATTTTTTTTCCTGTTTATTTCCTAAAGCGATCAAATGCCGCTTTCAGGCGGTGTTTGTAGACCTTTTAAGGGGCTCCTTGAGTCACCAGCAACTTCACCAAACTAGCTCTTAATTCTGGACTGTCCAGCTCGGGTGAATTTTGGCGATTAAGAGACATGAAACGGACAAAATTCCAAGAAGGGCTCTGCGCGGGTACCCACCTCCTAGTTTCATATCCTCACGTGGCCCCTAGGAGGTGCTGGTGAAATGTGCTTCGGTTTTACAGCTACGTAGTTAATGCTGCGTTACCAAGTGTGCCTCGTTTTGTAGCTCTGAGCAAGACACTTAAATTAAAAGGGTATGGAATAGGTCACGCACGTGCTGTGACTGTTCTGATAACCAAATGGCGGTGCTGTTCCATTTAGTTTGTAGGGATTATGCAGTACACCCAGGCTTGTTACTAATTCTTCTTTTTTTTTTTTTTTTTGTCTTTTAAAGCTTTGTACGTGGGAATACTGTCTCACACAAGGGAGGTCTACTTTAACATTTATTAAGTCACGTATTATTTAGAAATAGCTTGGGTTATATTTGCTATTATAAAAGGATGCATAAGAACCCAGGCCATAGCCCAAATGCTAAAAAAACCTGCCGGTAGACAAATCAATCCTATATCAGCCAAAGGATTAAAAAACGAGTTAACAGCTCACTCCCACTTCCATAAGCTTCTTCAGAAATGCCCTTTCTCTTAGATTTCTTAGAAATGGTCTGGATTCAGATAAATACCCTGAAATATATTAAGACTAAATAGAAAAAGGAAATTAATCATTTATATATTTTCTCTTCTTTCCTGTGATTCTATGGTTGCACCTGCAGATGGCTATTAGTTTTCTGAACCAAATGCAATACTTGGAAAGGCAACACTTTTTTCTCTTTTTGACTCCAGGTAATGAGCTCTGTTTGAAAATCAATCATGCAGAAATAAATGCCAGTTTTCTGAAATTTGGGTTGAAATTGTTTTCCTTTAATAGTCTACTCTAAGTAAAATGAATAAACCACAGGGGAAGACAATTTTATACAAAAATCGTTACAGAAATGAGTACAAAGTTTAAGATGATTGGCTGCATCTATTAAAGGCACATAATAAACATTTCTCAGTCTTTCTCAACAATCATCAGCATCATCTTCATCCACCTCTCCCATGGACTGAATGACATACTGTAAAGATTACATCTGATAAGAGAAAGTTGAAGAGATATTAATGTTTTGGGTAAGAAACTTGATTTTCATAATAGAATCTTTACCTTAATTGTTTAGCTAAGTAAGGAAACATGAACAATCAATTTTTAAAATTCAAACTCCATAATTGTATGATAGCATTGCATACTCAAATGTTGCATTTTAAAAACAAAAGCATATAAATGAATTCTAATTAATAAGTGACTTTTCACTATATCCCTATTAGGAAAATTCAATCCTGCCAAGCACTTGGGCAAATGTGCTTTTTTTGGAGCAATGTGTGATACTGATTTCTCTAGTCAGTCTCTCTCTTTTGGCTGAGTCAGGCCTTATTTAGCAAAAATCCCCATTAGTTTTGGACACCATTGCAGTTAGATGTTGGGATCCATCCATGGATTAAATTTTTCCAGGGAAATGACAAATATGCTCTTCCTGAGAAGCTACCTATAACAGTAGAGTCGAATATTCGTCATGATCTAGATCTGCATTCAGGTTGTGAATGGGCATGTGACACACAGGGTAATTGTTTCACTAGCAGCACAGATCTTTCCTTTGCACTTATATAAGATATGATCCCCAAAAATTAAACACGTTTTCAGACTTCTAATAACTGTATTTAACAGTTCAAGACCACAATAATAAGAAATGAGATGTTCCTGACATTTGTATCTATCAGGTATTAAGAACCACATATTAATCTTCTGAGTACTAATTGATGATAACACATCATCATCAGATTAGCTAGAAATGTAGTCAAGATGAATTTGCAATCTGCTGCTTTTGTGACAGCCACCGATTATGCTACTTTAAGGCATTAATTCTTATCTACTGGAAAATAGTTTTCATTTTAAAAATCATGCTGTTTCACTTATCACGTGGGTATTACTCATTTTCATATTACATTCAATGATTGTATTTGTTGAATAAGTATTTTGTGCTTTGGCTATATGCTGGGTGACACAGGGACAGGAAAGTCCTAGAAGGAGCAATTTCAGCCCTTAGGAGTTCACAACTTCTGGTTCAGATAGCAATACACATATGAAACATTCAAATGGTAGAAGATTTACTATGCGTGACACAGTAGCATGAGTAGGAATACTAAGCATGCTGAGAACACACCAAAACCACAATTGCCTCCTCTTTCAGCTAATGTGCCAAACACCCATTATGTCCGGATTGGCTTGTGTATTTTAGTCATGTATATAAATTACAAGATGCTTCTAAGAATGGCCTATTCTCATTCAGTGTCTCAGTCTACTGTCTAAGAAAAATAGGATTTATTCTATAAGCGTTATTTGCTTCACAAAATGGCAATAATGCCATTTTTATCTGGCATACCTGGGAATGCAGCATTTTACATAATAGTTTTCCTAAATGATTGAAATTTGTTTGGGTGGAAACTATTCTCTCTGCGTTATTGTATCCAGCTCTCTGATTGCTGTTAGAGTGCTCTGTACCTATTTATAGTGTAGCATAATTTGTTCTTTTTTAAAAAATGTTTCTACTTACCTATTGCAGATTTTGCAAAATCTAATGCAATGTCTTTTTTATTTATATGTCCTTGTTGCCTTGCACTTGGCCAGGGACATCAGTCAGTCTCCATAAATGTCAACTGACTAATGAAATGAACAAATATTTTTGAGTATAATTTGATTTGAATAATGACTCAGTATGAATATAATAAACATAGCAATTTCATTTTTACCTGCAATATGGTGGACCTATCAGTGTACAGAAGAGCCATTTCCTCTCCGTTAAATGACTCTAGACCAAACTTAATTAAGCCTTTCTGTGTGTTCTTCCTTCTCCGTTAGTATGAGTCTTCACATTTCTCCTTCTGACAGTGTGCCTTGAATCTGTCAGCCTGTCACCATGCTCTGTCTAATGTGTTGATTCTAATCTGCACTGGGCTGACAAATTATGTAACTACGGTTGTTAAAAATATATGTAAAATAAAACCAAATACGATCTAACACATCTAAAGATGTAATTTTGAAATAGTATGAACAGATGCTGGATTTGAAGTCATCTTCTTTTGGTCAGTTTTCTTTTTGGATAAAAGAGCTTCAGGATATGAATTTATGGCATCTATTTTAGATTTGCATAGTACTTACTTCCCTTAGTGCTTGTATTTGCTGTGTTATGAATAGTTGAAAAAGAGCTTTGGGTAAGGAAGTACCTGTGTGTTTGCAACTGTTTATATACACATATATACATATATATATATATATACATATATATATGTGTGTATGTGTGTGTGTGTGTACAAAACTCATATTATTCATCCAGTGATATTTCAGTGCTTCCTGTGTCCATTTATTATCATGATCTTTATTTTCCATGAAATCTGGTAAAAATCAAAAGCAGTCAGTGGGACTGCTTTTTAAAGGAACTCACACTTCTAGAGCAGGCAGGTAACTATTTAGTAAATTACCTCTTCTGTCATGCTCTGGAAGACTTCATTAATCTCATGTGGGTGAGACAATTATACTCTGAAAATATCATTTTCATCGCAGGGCCAGCCCTTACATTAGTGTTCTTAACACAATGATTGTTTCATCTTTGTTATCTGTGGGGGCTTAGTTCTCTCAAAGGTCATGAGCCCTTACAGACTCAGTTCATCATCTCTTGCCAGGGATGACGGCTCTTTAGGCAAGGTAGTCCTGACATAAGCATAGGTCATTCATTGGTCAGAAAAGGAGCCAAATGCCAATCATTATGCACACTCATCACCACCACAGGGGGAAGAAGAGCCTTAATACTGTGGTTCAGCAGTCTTATCATTTAATAATGGTGATGGAATATTAATACGAAGGCCAATATTAAGCCAGCACATACTGAAGGCTTTCCCGGAAGGAAGCAGGCATTGTTCTTGTTCTTTGCAGGACATGCTAAAGCTATGGTAATACATTTCATGAGACTTTTACAAAAGAAAATAATGCAAAAGAAGGGGAAAGGAGCAGACCCAAGGAAATAGTCTTTGGAAGTCAGTGTTTCTAAAGGAGACAGGAGCACTTTCAGTAGCCACTGGGAAGTAAGCCTGCCTCTGGCATCCATAGTGCCCTCCCTAGCCCAGTGGGAGATACCCCCAGTAAGATGTGCTACAATTGGTAACTGAGTCTAGTGTCTCAAGCACCTAGAAGAATGTCTCCCTGCTTTACTAATACCTCCTCAGAAGACCACAAGAGTCATGCAACTTGGCTTTATCTAAAACTAACAACAAAGAAAAAGACTTCAGACAGGAAAGTCTGGGCGCTTTTGCAGATATTTAAGAAATATGCCACAATCTATGAAGAAACATATTTTGAGTGATATCAACAATGCTGAAACGATACTTTGGGAAAAAAGAGTATGTAACCTAAATGCCTGGGTTTGGGGATGTGGGCCTTGACAGTGTATAGCTTTTCAATTTTATTTTTAATGTATTTTAAGTCTTTGTTTATTGTCAAAACAATGCATGCTTGTTGTAAAAAAATGTAAAAGATTTTAAAAGCATTATAAAATGTAGAAGGATGTAGGGGAATATAGAAAATAAAATGAATCCACACCCCATTTAAATAAATGCTTTGTAATACATATTCCCCTCTTCCCTATATTTTGATTTTTAAGTCATTTTTATTTTACAATTTTAAAGTCAACTGTATCATACTTTTTGATGTCATATTTTTTATATTCATCTAAGTATTTGATGCAGTTAAAATAATTTGAAAGCATATATATGAATGATCACCATATTTTATGTCTGTAATATATGTGAATGATAATCCTTGTAGCTTTAAATTTATTTTTATGTAGAATAATGATTTTCTTCATCTTTACTAATATCTTAGAATTCTAGGTGTAGAATTACTAGGTCAAAGTTTATGAACTCTTAATTTTTTTTTCTTGCTGCAGTTCTTTCACATCAAATACCGAAATATCGAATTTCAAGGATGTTCTTAATTATATAACTTTGATGTTGGAAGTGGCATTTCTCTATGGGGAGGGGTGGAGATTTGAGCGGCCATGGAATGTGTCTGCAACCTCCATCTGCCCCTCACTAACTGTGAAAGATTGTTCTAGGGATTAGAAATCATATATGTAAAATTCCTGAGACACAGTGATCACCCAAATAGTGGCAGTTATTTTATACTCTAGCTGCCCCTGCTGTTGCTACTAAGGATGATAAAAATGGCAAGGTTAACAAGTTAGTTGGTGGAATAAGCCATTTCTACAATAAACCTTTAAGTCACAGGACTCTATTGCAGTGCCTGACTCATCATAAATGAAGAGGAACCTGAGGAGTTGAGGAACAGAATCCAGGTGTACCTCTAAGTGCAGGCTGGTGTCAAACAGAGAAAAGCATTTTTTTCCCCCCTAGTTGGTCAGGATTCGAATAAACTTGGGGATTTCTTAAAGAGATATTAGGATGGACCATTAAATCTGGGTCCAATTTTAGACTCAGGACAAGCATGATGAGTTGACACGTCTTTCTTTATGCAGAGAGGAGGAATCTACAGCTAACTTGGGAGAAGAGTAGGAAATGGAAGCCGGCCAGTTGGAGCAGCCCTCAGTCTGGTATTTCTTCATCCTTCACGTCTGGCTACAGCCTGCCATGTTATCTTTCTTTCTGCTTTGTTTCTTAACATGTTAAGAAAGAGACAGAGAAATTACACTTTCTAATAAATCTCCTCCTGCAAATGGAGGCCATAGATATGGCTTCTAAGCCTACCCATCCAAAATCCAGTATTTCTTTCTTTGCTCTCTGTAGAATATAATTTCTCATAACATTCTGCTCAGACATGTCTGGAAACACACAATAAGCCCCTATGGTTTTCAGAGACGTTTACTAATTCCCCATATTTTTTTTTTCTTCCCTGACTCTAAAATATATAAAGTTTGACTTTCTGCTCCTCCTTTAGTTCCCCTCTCTAAACGTTGGGTTCAATTTTCCTGCTTCCCCATGGGGAAGCTTCTTCCATTATAAAAATAAATTTGACTGGTATCTGAGTTGGTTTGAACTTTTCCCCTATCGTTGACTGGTTTCCCTTGTGCAGATGCATATCCTCAACTGATGTTTAATTTCAGTCTTGATGAATTTTTGTTCTAATATTAAAAGTCTTCCTGCACAAGTTACATACAAATAAACTGGTATTACAATTGGCAAAAATAAAATGCTCTGCCCAACTATCACCAATACCATTTGTGATGACTACTGACATATAAATGTTAATAAAAGCATGATTTTAAAGAGAACACAAGTTACATTGTTCTCATAAGTGCTTTGTTAAATATTTTAATGAACTTACTAGGATCAAATCTGGATAATTCTTCTTTGGCTCTTGAATTTGAACTACATCCAGTCCATTTTAAGTGTTAATAAAAAAATTCAAATTGATTTTCACTATCAATAAGTGTTTTTTGAAATTGTGTCTAGGGTTAGCAGTAAACTGAATTTAAACAAAAACAAATTCTTTGGCTAGTGTTTTAGCTTCTGATCTTTTTATCAGTAAAGATCTCGTTTCAAAATCTGTACTTTTACCAAAGTCTGATCTTTTGTATGGTTTGCATAACTGACTCACCGAGTATTAGCAAGACAGGAACTGCACTATAAATAATGCCTTCTTTGCAATCTGATTGCCATTTCCCTGTGTGTAAACTGAAATACACAAAAACTCGTACTGTAACTGTTAAGTCAACTTGGGGGAAATAATCAGTAAGGAGAGCTACCTTTCACATTTACTGAGATTGAACCTGTTTACATGTTAACACAGGCGATGTTGCTCGCAAATCCCCCCAAATAATGTTATATTTCCCACTTGGGCAAAGATCAAGCCCCAAAACTTTGCTCTTATAATATAATAATTTTATAAAAGATTATGTGAAAGTTGACAGAAAGCAATTTCAAAATATATAGAAACACGCATACACACATTTTATCTGTTGACCCAGTAGTGACACATTTAAAAAACTCTTATAAGAGAGGGATGAGGATAAATTTTCATTTGCATTTATACACTCTGACAGAGGAGCTGCGGTCAGCCCTAAGATTCCCTCTCTCAGTAATTTGTTTTCATGATTCTGATTTTATGATGCTCAGAGACCAGATACATTTCACAATTTGCAATTTAAAAAACCTTCTACTCACCCTTTGCACGCACATTCCTTATGCATTAAAAAAATATGAAAAAAAATCAAAATAGATACTGGCAACTCTCAGAATTTTTGGAAAGAAGAATCTTCTATGAGACTCTGAGGCTCAAGAGGCTCAACAGCTTCTGCAATACAGTAAAACACGAGAAAAGGACAGATAACTTAAGCAGTCCTTTTTAAGAGTAGAAGACAATAAAAACGCTCCTTTCATTTCCTTCCAGAAGTGATCTGAACATCTACCTGGTCACAGCATGATTTAACACAACAAGATTTAGTCACTAATGCAGTATGCACAGTTTTGAATCCAGACAGTACAATGGAAATGTATGCAAGTTCCCTTAATCCTAGGCTCAAAATAATCAGTGCTCTTCTCTGAGTGAATTAAGCACAGGAATTAGTTTACTGCCTTCTATACTGTTTTTATCTTTTTTCCTCATTCATTCATGATTTGCTTTTGCTCATTCATCCTCTCCCAGGTCCATTATTATTGTCAAGTCCTTCAAGAAGGGGATTAGGACTGCCACAGAGCTGCTGATCCAAGCCCAGTCCTCTCATTTATTTCACTACCATAACTTAGCACTTGATTCATCCATGAAAATGCAGCTCAAGACCTGCGTGGTTACAGCTCCACATGCTTCATTCAGTAACATCACCTATCAAAGCCACATGCCAGAAAAGCACCCGAAATGCTTGATACCACAAAAGCCAGTCATAACCCACAGGTTGAGACCGTCCCACCAGAAAAAAAAAAAAAAATTTAAAAAAAAAAATTTTGGAATTATTTCTCCATAATAGAATGCGATTCTCCGTGAGTTGACCTTCAGGCCATGCTGTGAAACCAAAAAAGAAAGAAAGAAAGAAAGAAAGAAACCAAACACTCTAGACATGGATGACTGGATACTCTGTGCTTTCTGCTGTCTCCTAAACCCCTTCCAAGTCTCCATCAGAAGGTAGAATGACTTGCAGCCCATTTCACCACGCAACCTGATAACGGTAACCGGAGATCTGTCCTACAAAAGGTTTCGTCCCTCACTCCATGGAAGACCCCCTCAGAACAAGAAACATTTTTCTCACAGGAGAGTCTCAGAGAGTCTATGAATTCCTGTTGGATGAAAGTTTTCTAATTTCCTTTCTGCAAATACCAGGGCATTTGTTTCTCTTATGTAATTTCCAGGGAATCGGTTGCATGACCCAATTGCTATTCTGTTGGTGGACCAAGGTGCCTTACCGTCAGTCGCCCTTGGTGAGAACGTACTCAAGGGCTGACACATGACTGCAGCGGAACTGGACAATTCCTGGAAGGAAAAGGGTTAAGAGCCAGTAAAAACAGCATAAATTTACACATGACCTAGTGTGATTACACTTTTATTCTCTTCCGTGCAAGGAACAACAACAATGACAACCTCCAGAACTCATGCTTCTGGTCCAGAAACCTCCCAAGTGGACATGGTTTCACCCAGTTCAGATGATCTCAGCAACATTCTGGTTAAAAAGAGTCTGGAGGCAGAGACAACCCCTCACCATTGAGCTCTTTCTCAAAAGAATCCAAAGGTTCCTACCATTATCGAAATATCATCTCACCTGTTGGGCTCAAGGGAGCGGGTTTGTGAGACCCGGTTCGTGATGGTTTGAATTTGGCAGATAAGTTTTAGAATTGTTCAAGTTTGCCCACATCTTCACTGGCCAGGAAGGAGAGGATGGCTTGAGAAACCAGGGATCTGGGCTCCAGAAAGAATGATGGGCAGATAAAAGATACTGCAGCAGCTTCAGTTAAAAAAAAAAAAAAAAAAAAAAAGAACAACAAAACAACAACCTGACCCAAGACTATTTCTTTCATCAAGCCCAGTGCACTCTCATTTTTTTTTTAAATTTTTTTTCCCTACAAAATACAGGAAAAAAGATTGCCGAAGCAAGTGAAAAGAAGTTGGAATCAGATAGAGGACATGTATTTGTTTTCCTTTGTGGGTGAGATCAAATGCACACAAAGTGAAGCAGATACCTTCGGTCCTCCTGGTCCTGGTGCCTCAGGGACAATCAGGGACAGTGTCAGGTCCTATGTGACCAAGCTAGTTGTAAGCTGAGCCCCCAGTAGAGGATTCCATGAGGACAGCAGGAAGTGGGCAGAGGTGGCCTGAAGCTTTTTTTTTCTCTTCTACTGAGATCCCTTAAAAGACAATTCCTTCCCTCTAGTCTCAGTCCCTTTTCTTCTCTAGGAATTCATCCTGAGCTGGAGAGCAGGAGCTTCTGCTTCACACAGAGGGCAGCAGTTGTTTGCACTTCTACCTTTCGTCCTCAATGCATCTGGATGATCTTGAATCTGCTTGTAAAGCCCTCAATCTGCCAGTGTGGCAATCACCCCCGCAATGGCACACTGCTCTCCCGGCCCATCTCCTCCCTCCAGTCTGCACACAAACTCCTTTAGGGAGAACTCCAGGATTCTTCCTAATAATGGGGGCTCAGATATCTAGAATAGCAGCTGTCTTAATTATATTAGAAGTGTTGATAGAGAACTGAATTAAAACAAAAAAGGTAGCAACCTTCCCACCCCACCCCCAAAAAAAAGAAAAAGAAGAAAGAAAAGAAACATTGAGAAAAAGAACATCATAGGAAGATTTTTATCTTTTAAAACTCTACTCTTCAAAAAATACAATTATATATGTGAACTGAGTTCACCCCTTTCCTTTTGCTCATGAAAAATTATATAGGGTTGAGCATTATTGATGGACGAGACTCTTTGTCAGGAAAATGACCCAGCACAAAGATATATGTTTTACAAGCAGAATATCCTTATATGACTAGACTCATAGAAAGTGAAAGCCTGGGTTTTGCTGAGATTTAGATCTGGGACATCCCACTTTTCGTGATCCTAGAATAAAGGTCTGCAGCTATGCCCCAAGCCAAATTGTGCTTGCAGACCATGCTAAGTCAAGGAGCTAAGAATTTTTCGTATTTCTAAGTTAGTAGAAAAATCAAAGGATACATACTATTTTGTGACATTTGAAAATTTCATGAAATTTCTATTTCTATGTTCATAAAGTTTTACTGGCCCATGGTCATGATCATTTGCTTACATATTGCCTCTGACTGATTTCAGGCTACCATGGCAGAGTTGAGAGAGGGAGTCAGAGACTCCGTATGGCTCAGATATAGTCTAGAATATTTTCTACCTGGTTTTTGATAGAAAAATAATCTGTTCACTGCTACCCTAGGGTAAATCTTTGGAGCATCAAGTTACACCCAGTAAAAAGGGCAAGAAAGCTATTCCTCATGCTGATCTTGGAAGCTGAGGAAACTCAACTGAATAATTTATCTGTTGATACCTTTTCATTGAAGCAGAGATAAAATTCTCATAGATGTATTTTAGGATGAGCAATATAATGATTATAAAATAAGTATTCAAACAAGAACTGTTTTCAAACTCATTATAGCTGAAACATTTTGATCAAATACTCTTACATGTTAAAATTAAGAGGCTTCCAAGTGGGTTCATAAAATAGAACAGTTATTATTCATAACAGTGATAAAAAGTTAATGAATGTGAACACTGATTCCACAGAGATTATGTTTTGGCCTACTTTCCGTAGCCATATCAGTTTCTAGATTCTCATAAATCTACACCTTAACTGTATTGAGCTTGCTGTTGGAGAGAAATATGAGAGTCTGTGCAATTTGAAGGCAAGTGTCTAACTTTGTGTTGTTCCCAGCTCAATACATCTTGAATTTGATCTCATCAGTGATAATTAACCATTGTTCTTAAGAATGTATGTGTGTATATATGACACATCTATCTATCTATATATATATATTAGGATTAGTTGGAGTTGCCTTAATAGAAATAGGTATTCCAGGGCTTGATGGTAATACCATGGAATTTTGGGTGGGTTGAGCCCTAGATCTCTGCTATAACAATATATTTCCATACACACACGCACACACACACACACAGACACACGTGTATAAATAATGACCTAATTGATGTGATCATAATTTAGTTTCATGTTTACTGATTGCCATTTTCTTACTTTTTCCTAAGTATTTATCATTTTATAATAATGAACTCTTAAAAACCCATTTTAAGAGCCTGGATGTGATAGTATATGCCTGTAATCCCAGCAACTCCGGAGGCTGAGAAAGGGGGATCACATGTTCAAAGCCAGCCTCAGCAACTTAGTAAGGCCCCAAGCAACTCAGTGAGAGCCTGCCTCGAAATTAAAAATATAAAAGGACAGAGGGAGTGGCTCAGTGGTCAAGCAGCCCTGGGTTCAATCCTTAGCACTAAAAAAGAAAAAAAGAAAAAAAGTCCATAGCAGACACCACTCCCTTTTCCTTTTTATGATGCCTAAGTTTGTCTTCTTGATCAATGTGGTGATGCAATTTTGATCTTTTGTTCACTGAGGGGCTACAAAACCACCGGATGAAAGCTGTTCCTGTACACATAAATATGGATGTTGCTCTGATCATATTTCTCTACTCAATTGCAGAAAAAAAAATCTTTTATCCTTCTAGAGACACAACTAAATTATTTATATGGTGTTTTGTTCTTTATTAATTGAGTGAATGCAGACTCAGTTCTAGATCAATATGAATTCACTGAAGGGAGAGGCTCAAGGAAATTCCCTCCCTGGATTTAATAAGGAAAAAGAAAGCATAGCGGCCACATTTTCAGCATCATTCACATGTACCTTTTGCCACCATACCCCACAGAAGGCAAATGCTGGCTAACTGCCTGTAGAACTTGAATGGAACATAGCCAAAGACTGGAAATTTCTAGAATTAATAGGAGTTTGGTTCTGTTTTCCCAGAGTCCCATTCCATCTCCCTGTAAGTTGGCTTGAATCTCATATAATAAGGGTCAAGTTGTCAATTTTTTTTTAATATCAAAAACTCAAGTAAGTAAGAGTTTTGGACTTTTGCTGCTGTGACTGTTTTGTTTAAGAGCAAGAGAAATGAGAGTGCATCCCTTCATTAATTCCTCCAGTATGTTTGTCATTGTTAATAACATGAAATACTAAAGCTACAGACATATCCTCAAAATGTAGGGAGAATACTGATTTTCAATGAGATCGTTGGTTACCTAATGTTAATTTTTAGATTTTTCTCTGATAGTCACATGATGACTGTGTGCTTCCATGGAGAACAACTAACTAGTCATTCAAGTCATATGACCATATGACGTGTGTGGGTAATAAGCTCAGAATTGCTTCTAGGAGACAAACATAAGAGGTAAAAATCAAAATGGAGGTGGATGGGATTTTAAAAAATAATAAAATATTGCATGTCATGAGAAATTTTAGGTGGAAAGTTCATAAGACAGTAAGAGGAAACAAAACTAGCCGATTAATTTTGGAAGAATCTTGAGTTTCAATAGCTATTCTCATAAAATGCAAACAGGATGCTAGTTCATTCAAATAGGTTGGGATATCCCTAAATCCTTTATACTTATAGGATTAAATTGCATTAAAAAGGGGATTTAGTCATCTTTAAGGTTAAATACACATAAACATGCATGCACAAATTCATTCATTTCTTGTACCCTGTCTTTTTATTCTACAAACACAGGGAGAGGAATTGGACAAGTTCCTCCTTGAGGTTCCCTCCAGTGACACGTTCTGTGATCTCTCTGGCACAACTGAAATGGCAGAAACTTTCCCAACGGTGATTTGGCCCTCTTAATAACTTGACCTAGGCTGGCATGGTGCACACCTATGGGTGCACACCTATAATCCCAGCATCTCAGGAGGCTGAGGCAGGGTGATCCCAAGTTCAAAGCCAGCCTCATCAGCTTAGTGAGGCTCTAAACAAATTAGTAAGGCCCTATCTCACAATAAAAAAATTTTTAAAAAAATTAAAAGGGCCTGGGGATGTGGCTCAGTTGTTGAGGGCCCTGGGTTCAATCCCCAATATGAAAGAAAAAAAGATTTGACCTACTAGAAATACAATTATTAAAACCAACTTTAAAACTTATATATAATTACAAGTCCTCTGAGAGTCCCATAATTTAATGATTATGATAGGAACAGTGTTTATTGTTATTTTCTTAGTTCTCTATGACCTGAGAGTTTCAATCCTGACTTTCCATATGACATCACTATAGTCTTCGGTTTGTTCACATGCTTAACTTTCATGTCATCTCTCAAGATTGATCCAAAAATGTTACTGTTCATACTGTCATCGTTGTCATCATCATCATCATCATCATTGTCAACATCATTGTAGTTTTCAGTACAGAATATGCTGAACTAAAGATCCCTAAAAACCACCCTTTACACTCTTCATAGCCCATAAATACACATGAATGTGGAAAAACCATTTTCTCTGTCTTTCCCATACAATGTTCTTAACAGGAACATGGATTTCCCTCATACAGGCTCCTGGAAAAGCTAAATTGACTGGAAGCAATCAGTTTAAATAATCAGGAACAACCAAGAAGTTCAGTATTAAGGATGTTTCCTATGTAATATTTGTAAATAAGGGTATTCTAAAAGTTTTTGTGAGCTTCTCTAATTTGTATGATAGTCAACAAAAATCAGTGACTTATTGTAGCTATCTGAGAAACAGAACTCTACTGTAGACTAAACATAAACTCATCCCTCAGATGAATTTATGACAACCAACCACAAAAATATGCCAAATTCGAGATCTATTTATATTATGCAAGCCCATTCTTCAATACTTTTAAAAATATTTAGCATTATTCATTGTCGGTATAGTAGCTGCAATGTAATTCCTAATATATACCTAAATGCATCTATTCAAAGACTTTATGTACTCAATTAAAAGTCCATTATTATCAGG